AGAAAAACTGGTCTGGTTTCTATATGATTTCTCCTCTAATCACAGAAATCGGTGAAAACCTAGGATGCTGATCCCCAATCCACAAAGCTAGTACCACTGCCAACCTGCCTTACTTCCAAAGACAGTACAGACCCTGAGAGCACTCAAGACTCCTGCAGTACACCAGAATGTAGACTTATATTTGCAATTTTATATATAGTGTTTCCTGTCCCCAAGTTCCTAAGGACATCCAAGAAATAAATCAGAGGCCTGGCAATAGCAATAATGTTAAAAATTAAGAATCACAACCATTAGCAAACTAAAAAGGGGTAGAAATAATTCTGCACTTTGCATTAGTACATTTGTTTACCATACACAAGGTGCCTTTATAAATGATAAAGTACTAATTCTCATTCTGGATGTGTGACTCTCTTGTCCAGAATGTAAATCCTGCCATAATCAAAAGCAATGGCCAATGACGAAACATTGAGAGAGCCCCATCTTTGCACCAGGCACTTTATATTCTAAGTATATTCTATTACTATATAATTTATATTATATGATTTAGCTCCCACAACAACCTGAGGAGGTACGTGTTATTATTGTTCTTATTTTGTGGGTGAAGAAACTGAGGCCTGGAGCTTAATAGAACCCCCAAGTTTACATAGCTAGGAGAAGATGAGACCAAGATTTAGATCTGTGTCTCTCTGACTTCAAAACTCACGTTCTTCATCATTATACATACCCTCTCCCCCCAAAAAAGAATTATGCTGCTATGACTGAGTTACATTCTCCATAGGTTAGGGATATTGAAGAAATCCCAATCCCAGTAAAATAAGTCAGTGAAAGTTACTCAGAAATACTTCTGATCATTAAGGTATCCCCAAAGCACATGGCCAAAAAATCAGTGACTTAAAATGATACTAGAGTAGAAATACAGGTCAAATCCAATTACAGTGGATCTCAAAGGAGCATCCAAGCTCTTATGGTATCCTGGAACTTGATTATATTAAATAGTGCCTGTTTCAACTACTAAGGGACACACTGATCCTCCTTCCCTTTCTCCGAATTCTGGCACTAGTCAATATATCACAATTTAGCCCTTGGTTATATACTATGTTTTATTGTTCACCATTTTTTTTCATGTATGCTTAGCTTTGTTTCCTCAACTAGATTTTAAGTTCCTCGAGAATAAAAACTAGGCTTCATACTTTGTTGCCCTTTCTAATTCATTATGTGCTTATAATGTGCACAAACCAGGTGACAACTAGATGTGTTATTGACTTATTTAACAAAAATACCGGGGTTGGCGACCTTTTTCTGCAAAGGAACTGAGAGTAAATATTTTAGGCTTTGCAGGTCATCTGGTTTCCGTTGTAGCCGCTCAACTGTGCTGTTCTAGGGTGAGAGCAGCCCTCTGGCTGTCTATCAATACACTGAGTGTGACTGTGCCCCAATAAAACTTTATTTATGAAACAGGCAGATGGCTAGATTTGGCCTGTGGGCTATAGTTTGTCAAACCTAATAGAGACTATACAAGACAGGCTTGAGGGTCCAGGCTGGGAAATGTTTTAAAATCTCAGCATTCTCTCAACAGATTCTATACCGCCTCCTCAGGCCTCTAACCCGTTTTTAGAGTACTGGCTCCTGACTAAGCCAAGTGTTCTTCCAAACCCTCTTACCTTGGACTTAAGTTTAGTTCAGCACAATACTTTGCTGTTCATTTTCCTTTGGGGCTTCACACATCAGTTTAAAAAGAAAAATCAATCACCAAGTGGAGAGCTGACATGGTAGGTTGTATTGATAATAAGTAATCAGAAAATCCTTCAAATGTATTCCATCTAGGACTCCCTGACACTTTTTTCCGACTGCTTCCTATAGACTGCCATGTAAATCGTCAAGGTAACTTGAAATATTTCAAGTATTTCCAAGTATTTCACCTGGATTAACAATCTGCAGAGAGAGCTGATCACCCCCTGGTAGTAGGCCACCTAAAGAGTAGCAAGGGTAAATATTCCTTCCTCCCAACAGTGACTGTTTTTCCCTCTGAGAAGGAAAGAGCACAGAAAATGAAGGATGACACCCTTTCTCTTTCTTGATTATAACATTCAGCCCTCAGTTTTGACATAATGTTAATAAGTCCTCAATACGCTGCTTTCCTGACCTAATTTCAATGTGCATCAAACAGATTGTTCATTATTGTTTCTGGGCTCATCAACATATTGGTAAAGAGTGCTGCATTTGAGATGACTGGAGGTGGTTCAATAGCTAGCTAGCCACGCAATCTGGAGTGAGGAAGCATCCTAATTCAATCACTTTATCCCACAGAGAATTGAAGTGGCCTGCCTAGAACTGTGGATTCTACCCAAATCAAATAATCATAAGGTCATCCCTCGACAGTGTTGGTAGTGCCACAGTGAACTGGCTGGCACCACACACACCTAGGTAACATCAGAGGCAACTCAAGTTTGCTGTCCTAATGCAAAATCCGCTAACAACCCTCCACACTCCCACTCTGCCCCAGGACAAAACTTTATGTGAAATTGGCCACATTCAGTATCAGCTTTCTGAATCATGACGCAGAGCTGCCTGTGTTTGCAGAGACACGGCAGATGGTCTATGCAACTTCCACGGTCCCTTCCATGGTGCACTTGCAAAACGGAGATTTGTCTTCTGCTGTCTCAACACACCCTTTCCACATCCTGCTCTCCCTCTTAGCATTCAGGTGCTGAAACTCACAGACATTAGCTACCGCAGTGGTCTTGTGTTTTAAGCCTATAACCTCTTCATGTGGAATTAAAGGCACTTCTCATGTTTTAACATGGTCTAGGCATTGGGAAGCAACTAGAAAGACATCTTTAGTGCAGAGGTCCTCTGTGCCCACTAAGCCTGACCCCTGACAATGAGGTAAAGTGAATAGGTTTAGTGGGACTGGCGGAAAGAGGCAAAATGAGATTAGAAGAGAATGTGTATGTGTGGTCTCCCCATTCCAAAGAGCTCCAGTTACCCCAAGTCCACTCCAGGCCAGGTTAGCAGAGGTTTAATCCAGGCAGTGGCTGGGCCCAGACTGGAGAAATTTTAGGCTTGAGCAAAGGCTCACCCAACAGATCCCTTTCTTCCCCACATCTGCCCCTTCTCATTCTGCTCCAAGGCCCTCTGACAGCTATTTCACATCTCAGCTGCTGCAATCTCATGGAACAGACATGTATCTACTATATTATTTATTTCTCTGTTTTTGAAGTTTTTGATAAGTATGTTTTAGCTCACATTATCCATTTTATAGAAATCCTGGGAATGAACTGCCTTGGGAATTAACAAGCTCCTTGTCAGGACGCCTGGGTGGCTCAGTGGTTGAGTGTCTGCCTTCGGCTCAGGGCATGATCCAGGAGTCCTGGGATCAAGTTCCACATCTGGCTCCCTGTGAGGAGCCTGCTTCTGTCTCTGCCTTTCTCTTTCCGTGTCTCTCATGAATAAACAAATTCTTAACAAAATAAAAAAATAAAAAATAAATAAAAAAATAAAAACAAGCTCCTTGTCACACAGAACTTTGTTGAGACGAACTGAGCAGTGGCAATGTAATTGGACAGGAAGGATCCTTCTGGGCTTCTATTAGAAATAATAATAACAAGGGCACCTGGGTGCTCAGTTGGTTGGGTGTTGAACTCTTGGTTTCGGCTTAGGTCATGCTCTCAGGGTCTTGGGTTGGAGCCCCTGAGCTCAGAGGGGAGTCTGCTTATCTCCCCCTCTCTCTGTTTCCCCTGCCACGCTCTCTAAAATAAATGTAAAAATCTTTTCTTAAAAAAAGAAATAATAACAATGATGAAACTAATGCTAATGATGATGTAGGGTTTTTTTTTTAAGATTTTTATTTATTTGAAAGAGGGAGAGTGAACAAGAGAGACAGAGAGAACACAAGCAGTGACAGACAGAGGGAAAGGGAGAAGAAGACTCTTGGCTGATTGGGGAGCCCAACATGGGGCTTGATCCCAGGACTCCAGGATTATGACCTGAGCCAAAAGCAGACACTTAACTGAATGAGCCACCTAGGCGCCCTTGATGATGTAGTTATAATAAGAATAGCTTTTCTCATTTGCAGAACATTTCCTAGATTGTAAATCTTTTTCAAGTATGCTAACTTGATCTCATTTATTACATAAAATTGGTAGGGCAGATATTAGTGAGGATCCCCAAGTTAGGGACGCCTAGGTGGCTCAGCGGTTTAGTACCTGCCTTTGGCCCAGGGCGTGATCCTGGAGTCCTGGGATCAAGTTCCACATCGGACTCCCTGCATGGAGCCTGCTTCTCCCTCTGCCTCTCTCTGTGTGTCTCCCATGAATAAATAAATAAAATCTTTTTTTTAATCTTTATTTATTTTTTTTAATTTTTATTTATTTATGATAGTCACACACAGAGAGAGAAAGAGAGAGAGGCAGAGACACAGGCAGAGGGAGAAGCAAGGCTCCATGCACCAGGAGCCTGACGTGGGATTCGATCCCGGGTCTCCAGGATTGCGCCCTGGGCCAAAGGCAGGCGCTAAACCGCTGCGCCACCCAGGGATCCCAAATAAATAAAATCTTAAAAAAAAAAAAGGATCCCCAGGTTAAAGGTAAGGTCACTTGTAGGTCACATAGATAAAAAGAGGTTATTAAAGTAGTTTCCCTTTCCTCTTCCACTGTATACTGCTGTCTACAAAAGAAATGAACCATGCACTGAGAACAACTGGTAACAAGCTTCAAACCATTTCCCTCCAATAGGAGAAAGAGGGCATTCATTAATACCTTACTTCTATCATCTTTTAGTACAAAATTCCTAGCAAAAAGGACGATTCATACAGGCAGCACAAGCAAACCATCAGTCATTCAAGTCATTTTATTTTTTATTTTATTTTATTTTATTTTATTTTATTTTATTTTATTTTATTTATTTTTTTTAAAGAAAATGGAAGCCTGCTTTTATTGACGCACACATAGACGGACTTGCGATTGGAAGGGGCGGTGACGTTAACATGACACTGGTGGTTAACGCAACGGAAACATGAGGGCAGGAGATGGGTTTGCAGGGACATGATGCCTTCATAAGTTAGGGAAACGGACTGCTAGCTGGCTGCCCTTTTATTTCATGTTCTTCACAAACTCCTCCTCTCCCTTTTTGATGGAGGCCTTCAGCTCGGGGATGGCTTCTGCTATCATCTTCTCTTCAAGAGGGGAGATCTTGCCAATGCCTAGATTCTTCTCGATGCCCTTTTTCCCCAGCAGTAATGGTGTGGAGAAATAGGCACCGTCTGCTTCCTGGGATTTAACAAAGGAACATTCGACAACTCCTTCCTTCCCATTCATTGCATCCACAAGGGAGAAGACAAACCGAGCTCCAGCGTATGCCATGGACAGGGTGGCAGAGCCTGCTCCAGCTTTGGCCTTCACCACCTCCGTGCCGGCCTCCTGGATCCGCCCAGTGACGGCTGTCAGCGGGTCCTGGGGAAGGTCCACCTTGGGAGTGCACTGAGACATCAGGGGGATGATGGTCTCCGCGGCATGACCGCCAATGACAGGAACATTGACTCGCGCGGGATCCAAACCCTTCAGTTCTGCAATGAAAGTGTTGGCCCTGACAATGTCCAGGGTCGTCACCCCGAAGATTTTACTGGGGTCGTATGCTCCGTGTTCCTTGAAAACCTCCGTTGCAATTGGGATGGTGGAGTCGACCGGATTTGAAATGACGCAGATCATGGCATGTGGCTCCAACCAGCCGTGCCCTCCGCCCTCGCCCGCCCGCCGGCGCCGCTCTCTGCGCAGCTTCAGCGCCTCGGCCCAGAACAGTGCTAAAGTAGCTGTGCTTGGGGCTTCCGGAGGAATTGGGCAGCCCCTTGCGCTGCTTCTCAAGAACAGCCCCATAGGGAGCCGCCTGACCCTCCACGATATTGCTCATACACCCGGAGTGGCCGCAGATCGCAGCCACATCGAGAGCAGAGCAACCGTGAAAGGCCACCTCGGACCTGAGCAGCCGCCGGGTTGCCTCAAAGGCTGCGATGTGGTGGTTATTCCAGCCGGAGTCCCAAGAAAACCAGGCATGACACAGGATGACCTGTTCAACACCAATGCCTCAATTGTGGCCACCCTGACTGCTGCCTGCGCCCAGCACTTAAGTCATTTTAGAATCACAAACTCGGGCTCCCTGGGTGGCGCAGCGGTTTGGCGCCTGCATTTGGCCTAGGGCGCGATCCTGGAGACTCGGGATCGAATCCCACATCGGGCTCCCGGTGCATGGAGCCTGCTTCTCCCTCTGCCTGTGTCTCTGCCTCTCTCTCTCTCTCTCTGTGACTATCATAAGTAAAAAAAAAAAATTAAATTAGAATCACAAACTCTTAGGGGGCATCCTGGAAGCTCCTCTTTCCCCTCCATTCCGACACATTCTACTCTAGGACAAATGCAAAACTTGGAGGTCATTTACACAACAAAGAGCACTAGTAAAGCAGACTGTGTATTTATGTTTCAGATTGTTATGCCATAAAAGTCAATTTATATTTATATACAAGCACTCATACATAGCTACAAAACCAAACATTCTTCGTCTATATCTCTATTTTCAAACAATTGAAATATACTATGTTCAAACAATTACCTTGATGGATTAGGTGGTGGATTTTATCTTAGTCATTTCAGTAGTATAAAAATCATAGACCTGAACATTATTTTTTATCACATTACAAACTTGTTTTAAATTCTAGTATAAAACTTTAAATACCAAGTGTTGGCACATGTTTTATCTCATAATGACAACTATAAAATAATCATGAAACCCCAAAGTCATGATTAGCTATTCAAGGTATCATAACGAGACTTCCCGAAACACAGTGGAAGTATGCCAGCACTGTGGAAGCCAATGGAAGTTAATGTCACATGGATTAAAAAAGAATTAGCCTATTATAAATGGTCTTTTACTAACATAGAGCCTGCAGCTTGGTATGTTTGGATAAGTAACAACCACCTGATTTTACACAGGTTATTTAAGCAGAAAGTTGGCAGAAGTCTGTCTTCATCCTAGAAGATTGGAGCTTTAAGATTTTCGGGGAAAAAAGAATTTTTGAAAAAGAGAACAAAGCTCCGTGGTCCAGTAATGAACAATATGGCAATGCTGGAGTCACTGCAACATTATGGGTTTTATTTTTTTTTTTATAAATTAATTTTTATTGGTGTTCAATTTACCAACATACAGAATAACACCCAGTGCTCATCCCGTCAAGTGTCCCCCTCCGTGCCCGTCACCCATTCACCCCCACCCCCCGCCCTCCTTGGGTTTTATTTTCTGTGTGATTTCTAATCCTCAAGTTTTTTCCCTTTTCTTTCTTTTCCTTACAATATAGAAAGTTAAAAAAAAAAAACTTCACATTTTTTTTCTCTCTTCCTTAGAATGTAAACTCTGAAAGATCAGGACTTGTTATTGTATGCTCTTTTATTCCAACTTGGATTTCAGTATTCTATAAGTCATAAGCTCTTAAAAAAAGAAAAGAAAAGACAGGGCAGCCCCGGTGGCTCAGCAGTTTAGCGCCGCCTTCCACCCAGGGAGTGATCCTGGAGACCGGGGATAGAGTCCCATGTCGGGCTCCCTGCATGGAGCCTGCTTCTCCCTCTGCCTTTCTCTCTCTCTCTCTCTCTCTCTCTCTGTGTGTGTGTGTGTGTTTGTGTCTCATGAATAGATTTTTTTAAAAAGGCATTAAATGAGTAAATTCAACTAACTCACGGTTTAGTTCAATAGAATAAGCATTTACTAAATCTCGATTCACAAGACATTGGATTAACTATTAGGGAGCCAACTAGGGTGAATCCATGTTTCCTGAAATATTGGGAAAGGTAGACTTTATCCATAGACCCCAAGACTCAAAGGCAAATTCCTTTACAAAAGAAATGTTAAACGTTTGCTAAAAATTTTTAACAAAAATGTACATCCAGTTATGCAAGTATCAGACCGACAACATTCTCGAAGGTTTAAAGACCAAATCCCTCATCACAGACTTTCAAAACGCCGACCGATCTCACCAGAAAAGACTTCAAGTACCGCGAAGCTGTCCAACTCCCGGTAGTGGATATGTGTTCCCTAGGCTTCCATTTCTCACTTGAAAGCTCAAAAATTATCATTGTCGGGGATCCCTGGGTGGCGCAGCGGTTTGGCGCCTGCCTTTGGCCCAGGGCGCGATCCTGGAGACCCGGGATCGAATCCCACATCGGGCTTCCGGTGCATGGAGCCTGCTTCTCCCTCTGCCTGTGTCTCTGCCTCTCTCTCTCTCTCTCTCTGTGACTATCATAAATAAATAAAAATTAAAAAAAAAAATTATCATTGTCAACAATAATTGCTCCTGTTTTCCTGGAAGTGACAGATGCATGTTATTTATTTTTGAAAAAATGTCTATCGAATACCTGTCTGAATAACCATGGTCCGTCCATCTTTCTTTCAAGTAAGAAGAGTGTGCCATGAATATAAAAATAAATACTGGGATCCCTGGGTGGCGCAGCGGTTTGGCACCTGCCTTTGGCCCAGGGCGCGATCCTGGAGACCCGGGATCGAATCCCACGTCGGGCTCCCGGTGCATGGAGCCTGCTTCTCCCTCTGCCTATGTCTCTGCCTCTCTCTCTCTCTCTCTCTCTCTCTGTGTGTGTGTGTGACTAACGTAAATAAATAAAAATAAATAAAATAAATAAATACTACTTCAGCTTGCACCTCGAGCACAGCAGCATTTTCCTAGAGACAAATATATGGTACTCCCGCACGCAGCACGTGTGCTTTGCACACACTTTTTATTTCTTCAGACAGGATTTAAAAAGTGTGGGCGCCTGGGTGGTTGAGCCCCTCGCTCTCGGTTTCCCCTGGGGTAGTGACCTCAGGGTGAAGAGATGGGAGCAGGGCCTGCCCCCTGCCCGCTGCATGGGGGGCGCTTCAGTCTACCCCACCCCGCCCCTCCCCACTCCCCTGCACGCTCTCTTAGAAATAATTAATCTTTTAAGAGTGAACCAAACAGTTGGACTCTAATGAAATCAAGGATTTTTGCTACTTCACCGAGGACACCCTCAAGTGACCCCGGCTTTTAGTGTCGTGCCCTGCCCGCCCTGATCCACTCTGACACCTGTACTGTCACTCACCATTGGTGCCTCTGTCAACACGGTGAGAGAGGCAAATACAGCTCAGCATTGTCATCAAAGTGGTTTTGGCCTGGCAGGGCCCTGAGAGGGTCTCGGGAATTCCCGGGGGTTCGAGAACCAGGGTGTCTGTGCCTAGAGAAATCACAGCGCCCTTTCCCTTCCGTTATTAATTGCTTAGGCTTATTTGTCATTGGAGGTTTGATCCCTGATCAAAGACAAGACATGCCGAGGCGTCCAACGCATCCGAGAGGGGCGCCCTGCCGCGCCCGCTGCCCCAAGGCCCACAGAGGAAGAAGGCGGCCTCGGGGAGGGGAGCCGGATTCAGCCCTCCAGCCGCGGCCGGCGGTCGCCCCCTGCGACGATCGTCGGGGGCGGGGTTGCGGCCATCGACTAGTGCTGCCTTGCGCGTGTCGCGGCGGTGGGGGCGGGGGCGGCTGGAGAAGGAAGGCCTCCCGGCCCTGCGGCCGCCGCGCGGTTTCGGGGCCGAGGCGGCTCGCTCGTTCTGCGATCTACTGAGAGTGGCTTCCGACAGCCCTGGCCGCTGTCGGGGAGGGAGGGAAGATGGCGGCCGTGGCGGCTGGCGGCCTGGTGGGGAAGGGGCGCGACATCAGCCTGGCGGCCCTGCAGCGCCACGACCCCTATATCAACCGCATCGTGGACGTGGCCAGCCAGGTGGCTCTGTACACCTTCGGCCATCGGGCCAACGAGTGGGTGCGTGCGGACGCGCCGGGGCCGTGCCGCAGGGCGAGGGTGGGGACACAGATGGTCGGCCCCGGGGCCCCGGGGCCCCGGGACCGAGGGAGGCGGCGGGGGAGACGCTGCCGCCACGGAGGGCTGGAGGTGGGCGGAGACGGACGGCGGCGGAGGGCGGTGGCCGAAGTCGTGGCCGCTGGTCCCCGGGCCGGGGCCCTGCGGGAGAGGGCGGCCGCTCTGGGGAGCCACCCGCCCTTGGAGAAAGCCCTAAGTTCCGACGACGCCCCGTGGGGAGAGCGAGCGTTCGGGGCGGGCCCGGGGGCCGAGGGCGCGGGGCTGGCGCGCCGAGGCCGGAGGGGGGACGGGCTCGGAAGGAGTGTGGAGCCGCGAGAAGCCGCGAGAAGCCGCAGCCGCAGCCGCAGCCGCAGCCGGGCGACGCGGGGAGCCGTGCTGTAGGGAGGCGGGGGCTCGGCTGGGCCAGAGGGACGGCGGAAGGGCGGACAGTGGGAGGCCGAGCGGGGTGGGGGTGGGGCTGGGCCTCGCCAAGGCGGGCGCGCGCAGCCTGCCCAGAGCGAGACGCGCCTGGGGTCCAGGGCACTTCTCAAAGCAGAAACCCGGTAAACAGCAATGGAATGAAATTTAACCTCCTCACGGTTACAGGGGGTAGGAGCCCGAAACGCTTGAATCCCGCTGCGTGTGGTTCTGTAGCCCACCCACTTGATTGCAGACAGATGTGATTTTTCTTTTCCTCGTACGATTTTGTCCCAAATAATGATCCGTGCATTATATGACCATCCATCATTTTAAAATAAGTTAGACAACAGTATAGAGAACTGAGCGTGAATGAATGGATTTCAGGGGATTTTTTTAAAATATATATTCCAAGACATCAAGGTTCAATCCAGGGAAACATGCATTTTGAGCAGATCCATATTTTTTTTGACGTCTGCATGCATTTGCATAGCCTCCTTACTGCTAGCGCACATCTTGAGCAGTCTGTGATAAAAAAAATTCACCTGAAAGTCATTAACAAAAGTAAAAAGATTTAAAAGGAGGTCCTAAAAAGGTCCCAATAAAAATTAAATATTTATATTTAAATATTTTAAATATAAAAGGAGAACAGTTTTGCCCTAAGTTCTTAAGTGAGGAGATTCGCTGGGACGGAGTAAGGAATTCGGGTCTGTACTCTAGGTCGTCCGCAAAAAAGGAAAGCAGGGAGACCTCTTTAATCACCATCTGTAATAGAAAGTATACCACTTGGTCAGGAGAGAGGTTATTTCCCCCTGATTTTAGGGGGAATTTGTCACCTGGGTCTTTATATGTATAAAGGACATTGAACAGTGTCCTAGACAATCTCATCAATGGGAGTTTAGAAAAAAATACGAAGATGTGATACATAGTGCATTGCTATTATATTGCTCTATAACAAAATGCCAAAGACTTAACCTGTCAGTTCTGTCAAGGCAATTTTGTAGGAGAGAAAGGATCTCCGTGAGCCTACTTGTCAGTAAGATTAGAGTCTGGAGAATCTTGAGAAATTGTTAACGTGCAGAGGAAACCATTCCTTTTGGAAAACAATTGTCTCCCATAGGCTTTTGACGGGAAATCTGTGATAGATCCCTGTTAAAATAGTTACAAAGGTTTATTAGATAGCCAGTGAAGTCCTTCTAAAGCCTCATCAAAAGACAGGAGTGTCACAATGCATTATTTACAGGAGTTATGTTTTCCTGCTTCCTCAGCTTGTTGCCTTCAGACAGGGCATAATTCATTCAGTAAAAGGTCATTCTTTCAAAGTACTAATCTTCAAGGCTGTGGTAGCCAGAAGAAAGAGACCTAGTTCAGAGGTAGAGCAGTTGCTCAGGGTAAGCAGTTTGTCACCACTGTCTCCATATGTCATCACTCAGGGCCTCTGGACTGGAGCCTTTTGAACATAAACCTACTGAAAGTATAAAGAACATTCTTGAGATTGGAGGTGAAAGTATATGCAAGAAAGCAGATAGGAGGTAAGGGAAGGAAATTCTTACTACACTGAAATAGATGAAGAATGACTTCAGGCATTTAGAGCAGGAGGTATTAGAAATGAAGGGTAGACAGAAAGTGAGGTGCTTGAAGGAAAGATGAAGAAAAATAATGTCATGACTGGAATCAGAATTTTAGAGCTAGAACTACTTCTCATTATCTGAAAAGACTGCTCCCCCCAAATACCCAATTGTCGTTTGAAGAATATATTTTCACCTTTCAGTCCTTGGAGTCGTGGCTCGTAGCTAGTTTTGATTTTGTCTCCAAGGAACATTTGGCAGTTATCTGACCGAAATTTGTGGTTGTCACACCAAGAGGGAACATGTTACTGGCATCCAAAGGATAAGCCAGGGATGCTGCTAAATGTCCTACACACAGGACAAGCCCCCATGACAAAGATTTATCTGGCCCCAAATATCAAAAGTGCTGAGCTTGAGAAACTGCCTTAGAATGACTATTATGTTTCTAGCTAGTGTTTTCTAAGTTTTGTGTGTATTGAAATCATTTGGAGTTTTTTTTTATTTTTTTTAATTTTTATTTATTTATGATAGTCACAGAGAGATAGAGAGAGGCAGAGACATAGGCAGAGGGAGAAGCAGGTTCCATGCACCGGGAGCCCGACGTGGGATTCGATCCCGGGTCTCCAGGATCGCGCCCTGGGCCAAAGGCAAGCGCCAAACCGCTGCGCCACCCAGGGATCCCTCATATGGAGTTTTAAAAAGTATAACCTTCCAGATTAAAATCTCCTTTTGTACAGGCATTTGCTATATGTTAAAGGCTCATAGGTGACTTAGATGCTACATGCGTGATTGAGAGAGACAGATTTATGGGGATAAATGGAGACCTACTTTTTCATTATATTAACATAGATAATTAGTAATGTGGAGAGTGCTTTGGGTGGTTTCAAAGGTGTTAAATACTGTGCCAAGTCACAGTAATTGGCCAACTGGCACAATTTTGTGTTCCATCTTATTTTAAATTTTGAACTGCTTAATTTTTTAATACATGTTAGATTTTATAATAGAGAGTAAAAGTAAATCATTAAATTGTACTTTTAAAATTTTAGCTAAAATTCCCCAGAACTATAAACTATAATTATTTAACGTAGAGGTCTTTGCCTAGAGAGGACCTAAGGACCAAATAAAATCTTGTTTTAACTATACTCCAGAACCCCAACCCTGGGCTTGGCCCAGAAAGAAGAAAAAAAAAAAATCTGTTTATCCTTGGATAACTCTGGAGGGACTAGGAAAATACATGAAATTGAGCCATTTCAGCCTTGATAGATCAGAATGTACATTTCCAAAGCCCTTTTTGTCCAGGTATAATAGAGTACTTAAAATCATGTTTTTAAACATGAAACATTAAAAAATGTTTTTTTGGGGGCAGCCCGGGTGGCTCAGCGGTTTAGTGCAGCCTTCTGCCCAGGGCCTGATCCTGATCCTGGAGACCTGGGATGGAGTCCCATATCAGGCTCCCTGCATGGAGCCTGCCTCTTCCTCTGCCTGTGTCTCTGCCTCTGTCTCTCTCTCTCTCTCTCTCACTCTCTCTTTCTCTCATGAATAAATAAATAAAATCTTTTTAAAAAATTTTTTCTTAGATATATGGGGTTTTTTTTCAAAGATTTTATTTATTTGTTCATGAGAGACAGAGAGAGAGAGAGAGGCAGAGACACAGGCAAAGGGAGAAGCAGGCTCCTTGCAGGGATCCCAGGACTCCAGGATCACACCCTGAGCCAAAGGCAGATAGATGCTCAACCGCTGAGCCACCCAGGTGTCCCTGAAATATGTTTTTTAAATCAAAAGATTCTAGGCTGGTTGCCTCTTTTCAGCAAAGAATCTGAGAGAATAATAGTTAGTCCAGTAAGACCTGGCAAGAACTCTACTCCAGGTATTCATAATGAAGATTTAAGAAATCCTGATACACTTCAATGCTGATGACAGTGCTCATGGTGGGCAATATACAGAGTGGATTTTGTTTGGTGCAGACTTTCCTAGTTAAGGGTCTGGATCCCAAGGAAAACTCTCCAAAACTGTTGCATATGTTCATTCTACAGGGAGACCAGGTCTGGTATTGGGCTGTGGAAGTCGCCTCTAGTCAGTGAGGGGGAATTTCAAACTTTTTAAGGACGCGTTGCAATTGAAGAGGGCCACAAATTCTTTAACAGTCTTTCAATCAAGAGGTGGGGTCCATTACCTTGAGGCACCGTGCTAAATGAAGTAAGTCAGACAAAGACATACTGATATTGTTTGATCTCACTAATTTGTGGAATCAAAAAAATTGCCTGTTACAAGTTGGAAAAAAGTTTCAGGAGAAACATGAACATGCTTTTAACATTTCTGATTCTGGATTTTTCCTTTTCTTTTTCTTTTTCTTTTTTTTTTGATTCTGGATTTTTCAAAACTAAAATTGGGCATTAAGATTTTTTTTTTTTTAAGAAAAGGTAATTTCCGTTACTACTTCATGGAGGAAAAAGGGAAACAAGTCAAAAGCTGTTAGCTTTATATGTGCTTATCTATAGAAACATCCTGATTTGGATCACTAAGATGAAACAGTCTAAGGTCAAATACTGGAAGACATGAAAGTGTTTTGGCCTTGCAGCAAGTGGTCCTTGCAATGCATATAGATAGGTTCTTGTCTAGTTCCTTAACCTGTATTTCTGTTTCAGCTTCTTATCAATGTAACAAATAATACAAATATTTAATTTTTACGCATTTATTCTTAAAGACTCTGTGGACTGTAAATACTTGCCAACTGTACCAATTCGACTTTAGGAATGCCACAAATTTTTAGACCGTTTGGGTAGTATTGATTGTTCTGTAGTGGCCATTTTCTTAGTGATTAATATTGTGGCATTTTAGGTAACCCTTAGCGCTTAAAGTGCACCCAGGATATAGATTTCTCAACAGATAAGAATTAACTATGTTTGTTTACACAAGGAAAGATAATAATGTTTTGGTATCTTTTTTTTTTTTTTTCATTTTGACTTTGCATTTTTCAAAGCATACTGGAAGAGGGCCACATTTGAGAAGTAAGACTGTTTTTCACAATACACTGAAGTTATTATATGAACTTGATAATAAATCCAGTTTAAGGATGATCTCTAACTTTCGTACCTATGTTTATATATTAGAGAAAAGACTAAAATTGTTTTAACTGCTATAAACTATTTTTAATTGCATATTCTATTTTTTTAACGAGGATTAAAATTCTTATTACTAAGTAATTGACTCTTAATATCCATTTGCTCTTTAAAAAGTGTTTGGTGATGTTTGATATAATTTGGGACATAGCGTATTTTGATTTTACTACTCCTAGTACAGTTCTTTGGGCAGAGAATATGTTCCTGAACTAAGGCAGCAGTTTTCACATAGCATACATCAGAATGAGCTGACAGCTTAAAGAATATGAGGTGGGCCCAGAATTTGAGTCAGTAGATCTGGGAGAAGCCCAAGAATTTGCATTTTTATCAAGATCCCAGGTGATGCTGATACTGCTGGTGTGGGGACCATACCTTAACACCCACTGAAGTGAGGTGACCAAGAAAATTGCTGAAATTACATGAGCATATGAGAGAATCATGCTTCCAATGTTTTATGTGCCTTTAAAAAAAGTATCATTTAGTATTAGGCCGTTGTTCTTAAAGAGTGTATTTTTCCCCAAAACTACAGAGTACTTAAATTTTGAATGATTTTAGTAATAGATATTAATAGTAAAATATTAGGAGGTTAAGTAGAATGCTGAAATTAAACCATATAAGTAGCAAAAGTACCTTTTAAATTCTAAATTATAATAATCTGATTAATAATTAAAACAAAACATTTTCTTTAGTATGCATGGTACTGACAAACGTTTTCATCAGGGCCTGGGCTCCTGTCTTCAGAGATATGGAAGAGAGCCTTTCCATATGAACAGAAATGATAGTATATCACCTTCACTTTATCATTTAAACAGTTTCTCTCAGGTAGATTTCTTGAGTTCTGGCTTATTAATGCTTCTAACCTGATTTTAGAGATCTGGATTAGACTCTAAATATTTCACACCACGTTGGTGATTAATTTGTCTGAAAACTACAGCATCATTGTTCTCTCCTGTGTTGTAGTCAAAGTAGGGTTATTGGCAGATCATCTGCTCTCCTGGGTGACAGGAAATGGCAAGAGAAAATAAACTCAGAAAATAGGGATAATGAAATGCGGACACCAATGACTTCTGCAGCTTGCCACATACGCAGGTCACAGGGTAGAAGAAAAGGCAGCGCACTTATCATCTCCTCTTTCAAAGGAAATCCGTGGAGTGTGTTTTTGTATCTCTTTAGCCAGAGATGTGATGCTGTCCCTGTTTTAGTAAAGGGCGATAATGATGGTTTATTTCATAAATGACAGAAGGAGAATGGCTGCTTCCTCCTGCTTAATCAGCAGAACCGTAACAATGCTGAGAACCTGTTCTCCTTTCCCTAAGAATAACCCCTCATGTTACAGGTATTTGGCCTTACTTGAAACTGAATGTTCTCTAACCTCTGAAGTTAAGATTAATGAAGAGAATATACATATTTTGCTGTTTTGTTTTTGTTTTTAGGAAAAGACTGATGTAGAAGGAACCTTATTTGTTTACACAAGGTAAGAGTATTTTACTTTTCCGAAGAAATTACAGTCTTTGAAAGAATATTTTAACTCAATTGTGTCACTCTTCTTCCAAATGTAGTTTTATTTCAAAGAGAAGAAAAAAAAAAAAAAAACACCTGAATCTTAGTTTGAAGTTATTAGTGAATATAAGGAAGGGAATACTAAGTAATGTCACCTGGTATAGTGTGAGGACTACTAATTTAAGAATGTAATTTTTTTTAACATTTTATTTATTCATGAGAGACAGAGATGACAGAGACCCTGGCAGAGCGAGAAGCAGGCTTCCTGCGGGGACTCTAATGTGGGACTCTATCCCAGGACCTCAGGATCATGACCTGAGCCAAAGGCAGATGCTCAACCACTGAGCCACCCAGACATTCCCCCAGAGTTTAAGATCTAATATTGATGAACTTAAATCTTTGTGTTCTTTTAAAAATAGTATTAAATATATTCTTTGGAAAAAGGTTTTTATTGGTCACCTCCCCACGCCTCTGCCTTTGACTCTTTAAAGAAGTATGCTCCAAAATTAAAGGTGTCTTTGAGTCCTTCATTATATAGTTAATAGAATATATTTCAGGATAGATTTAATAAATTCATGTTTTTAATCATTTGCATCAGAAATTGTTAATATCACATAAACACACAGAGACACATAGTATGTATATTGTCTTAATAGTTAAACATTTTATTCACATAAGCATTCACATAAACTGTCCATTATTGTCAGTGGGAGGATGAAGATAAAATACGAAGTCCTAGCAAAAACCCTTCTAGAGCTAAGAGCTTCATTGGGGAGGTAGAAAATGCACACACGCACACACATATATATGTTTTACACGTTGGCATTTAAAGATTAAACCCTCCCCCAAAATAAATAAAAACTATAAAAATAAAGATAAACCCCAAAATACAGATAGCCTATCCTCAGTACCATTTGATAGGTGATAAGCAATGGATGGGCTGCTATGATTATGGAAGGCTTTATAGAATTGTTGAGTCTTGAGTAGACCTCAGGAATAAGGTAGCACTTAACTTGCATAAAGGAGAGGGAAGGCCTGTCTCAACAGGAGGAATGGCAGAAACTGAGGCATAGAACCCAGTGTGGTAAAGAGACTAAGGAAAATGACTTTTGGCTACAGAGAGTTTATTTTGGTTTATATCAGTTAGAAGACAGTATGAAAGAGATTTTGCTGGCTTGGAATCAGACCAAGGATTTTGAAATCTATCTTCTTAGCAGTAGGGAGTCACTGAAGGTTTATGAACAGGGAAGAATAGAGTGATGGCAAAATATGTGGGGAAAGTCAGTGTCTTAGCATTATGAGGATGCACTGGTTCTAGAACAAGTTGGAGTTAGAGAAGACATCGAGAAGATTATTGCAGTGGAGTAGATAAGAGATGATGGAAGTGTGGACTAGAATGGTGGAAGTTGAGGTTGAAAAAATTTCTTGAAAGATTGCACATTTAGAAGGCATGACGAGGGATACCTGGGTGGCTCAGCGGTTAAGCGTCTGCCTTTGGCTTAGGGTGTGATCCAAGGCCCCTGGGGTTGAGTCCCACATCAGGCTCCCTGCGTGGAGCCTGCTTCTCCCTCTGCCTGTGTCTCTGCATATCTCCCTCTATTCTCTCTCTCTCTCTCTCTCTCTCTCTCTCTCTCTCTCTTTCTCCCCCTCTCTCTCTTTTTCTCTCTTTCTCTGTCTCTCATGAATAAATAAATCTTAAAAAAAAAAAAAGAAAGCATGGTAAAATTTTTTAAAATCTAAGAATTTGAAATAGAAGACAAAGAATGACAGAATCATGAGCAAAATGGAAAGGCAGGAAGTGGAGAATCTGGTTTGAAGGTAATTTTATTTTGAAATCATGATTTTAGAGTGATGGCAGGGCATTGAAATGAGATGCTGGGAGCCTCAGCATCTGACAGGTCAGGGATGGAGATACAGAGCTTGGACTCATCTGCCTTAAACTGGTTGTTGAAGCCATGAGAGAACAAGCATTCTCTGAAGGAGAAGAAAGTGATGAGGGCTGGTGGTTGAGTTTTAGGGGCCCAGAGATACAGAGAGGAGTTAGCCGTACAGATAGAAGCAAAACAAGAACGTTGTGGAGAGGCACAGTGCAAGAATGGCAGAAGAGTGCAGAGTTGGAGGCAGAACCCACAGTGGGGGTGGAAAGAAAGGAACAAATGAGCAAGGCCTTCGGAGTAGGTAGAGGAGGCTGGCTTATTCACAGTTTCAGAAAAGTGGTGGGAGTGCGTAAGAGCCATGGCTACTTTAGTTTACACTGTGTTCTAAAGCATTCCAAAATCACCAGAGCATACCACCAAGTGAGTATATGCTACTCTTGAGAATTTTGAAGTGTGAAAAGAAAACCAAATGGATGAACTCTGACCTATACCAAGCGTACACACACACACTCCGTGCATTTCTCATTCACTTCTTACAGCTCTACTACTGTTTTGAGAAGTGAAAGATGTATTAATATACACAGATGATTTGTTTTAGGGATTTTTAGTAGGCCCTCTCTCTCTTTTTTTCTTTTTTTGGCTGCAGAAGATTAACAAATTATACAAGAATTTTCTCTTTTGTACTCAAACCAAATACAAGTTTGCATTTTCAAGTATTTTTTAATATACTCTGAGTTCTAAATGGAGCTGTCAGTTAAACCATTAGGTTTAACTCATTCCCTGTTCCTTAATCTCTTCCCCAAATCTGACTCCTCAAGAGTCAGATTTTCCCATCTCCCCCTTCCTGGGGGATGGACCAATCACCCCACCATCAGATGGATGCCAGATTGTAGCACGTTGGTCTTTCCTCAATAGAGAATAACAAATGCTCATAAAAGTCAGAAGGGATGGGATCCCTGGGTGGCGCAGCGGTTTGGCGCCTGCCTTTGGCCCAGGGCGCGATCCTGGAGACCCGGGATCGAATCCCATGTCGGGCTCCCGGTGCATGGAGCCTGCTTCTGCCTGTGTCTCTGCCTCTCTCTCTCTCTCTGTATGACTATCATAAATAAATAATAAAAAAAATTTAAAAAAAAAAGTCAGAAGGGAGCTTTTAGTACAGGTAATGGAGCTGCTGGTGATAATATTTTGACTTGTGTTATGGATATTGCTTTAGAGGAACTGGCACATTCATCCCCTGAGCCTATTTTATAAATTATGAGATGGTATAGTAACTGTACTATTGGAGAGGTGAGGTCCTGTTGTGATAATGAAACCCTTGAAGAATCAAATTCTGATTCTGAATAAAAACACCTAATCCCATTTTAAAAATTATTTCTTTTCTTTATTTCCTCCCATGGCTTGCTTTCTGTAATACAGAGTTCATAGAGACACCCACTGGTGATTTTTGAACTTGACACTTTCAGAGGACCCTCTCTCAGAGATCTTGGGAACTCTTTTTTTCATTCTTTCTTGGAATTTATTTTTTTTTTAAATTTTTTTTAACTTATTTATTTATTTATTTATTTATTTATTTATTTATTTATTTATTTATTTATTTATTTATTTATTTATGATAGTCACAGAGAGAGAGAGAGAGGCAGAGACACACAGGCAGAGGGAGAAGCAGGCTCCATGCACCGGGAGCCCGATGTGGGACTCGATCCCGGGTCTCCAGGATCGCGCCCTGGGCCAAAGGCAGGCACCAAACCACTGTACCACCCAGGGATCCCCTCTTTCTTGGAATTTAAATTGAAATGATTATCACAGTTATTTCTAGTATGGATTATTTGCACACCACCACTTTACCTTTCTATAAAATGTTAGGCAAGGATTGCCTTCCATCAGTTTTAAAATTGGAAGTCTCAAAAGAAAACTCCGTAAGTAGTACTGTTGATGAATTTTACTTCTTTAGTGGCATCAAATGGTTAAGGTGAAGTAAGACTAAAATGTAAACACTTTTTCTCCCTGTTGCTCAGAACATTTCTGTGGGTTGGTTACCCTGCTGCCCTAGTTTAAAGTAAATAAATGAATTCTGCTTGGTTTAGTTTCAGCATAGAAGCATTTGGTGTTTCATTTGTCACCAGAAGTTGCACAGTTGTATTACTATATGGCTGTCACCCAAGAGTAGACAAATGCACATGTAGTTGTTAGAGTTACACTCTGTGTAATTTGGGCTCTTTCTGCCTGTCAGAGTAGGCACTGAAGGCATTCAGTGAAATTAAAAATAAAAAGTCACTAAATGACACATTTTTACAGAAAAAAAACTCTTATAGTAGTTTATCAGGTGGTTTCCTTTATATTGAAGAAAACAAAATAACTGCTTCTTGCATTAAATTCTACAGTCAAATTTTAATTATATCTCATTCTAGGTTCGTTGACCAGAGTGGCATCATTTCTCCAAGAAATTTTACAACTGCAATTTCAAACCAACACTAACATTTTCTATGAAAAATTTCTTCCTATGATCATGATGTGCACTCTATATTAACTATCAAGATTCTTTCAAAGTATCCATGAGTAATTTTTTTAAGTGATTATTTTTTCTGCATTAAAGGAGTTTACAACCTAGGTGGGGAAGCAAGATAGCTGTACACACATAGCTAAATAAGTAGGATTTGATTTTGCCCAAGGAACAGGAGTGGCAGTCATGCTGTTTGTACTACAAGTAGTACATGAATTAGCATATGTCAGTCCTATTAGCCAGTAGTAAAGAGTCAGTGCTTTATATGTGTGCAGTCTGCTTGAACAAAGCTCTCTATACAGATCAAAAAGTTGAGAAACACTTTCGAATAGTATTTCTACTGAAAGTGGACTCCTGTTGAATAATTTGTCTTTTGATATCCTCCCTACAGGTCTGCTTCTCCAAAGCATGGATTCACCATTATGAATAGGTTGAGCATGGAAAACAGGACAGAACCCATTACTAAAGACCTGGATTTCCAGCTCCAAGACCCTTTCCTTCTCTACAGAAATGCCAGATGTGAGTCTTTCTTAATGCATTGAATAGTTTTATTTCTGCAGTTTGGCTAAGTGTTTAAAACTGTATAGTAGATGTCTTTGTGTTTGTGTTCGTTATCAGTGACGACTCATAGGGTCATCAGTTAGCTCGGGAAATGCATGTCCAATGAGGGAATAGCTTCTTCCTTGTGAAAGTTTAAATGAAAACCATGTGAATATGATGATGTAAGTATTTGAGCCCTTACAAATAGCTTCTTCTGTCGCTAGACCTGTTTGTAGTGTGAACCCATGAGAGATTTTAAATCTCAGTAGGGCTGAGTGAGGCAAATCTTTGGTCAGGAAACTCCAGAGGAGTAGACCTTTAGGCGGTACTACAAATACAGAATTAATGATTCAGCTAGTGGCATTTTTTCCTTGTATATCACTTCTGACTAAGCATCCTGATAGAATATTGGAAGGAGAGGGCCAGTATTCTAGAATTGCCATCTTTTGAATACATAGTAAATGAAAAACCGAAGTCCAAAGAGTTTTGGTCATTACGGATTTTGTAACACTTTGTAATGTTGAAGTTATATTAGGTAACTAAATGGTCCTTGTCTGATTCAAAATGAGTAGCAATCACCTATCCAATATTCTCTCTCCATTTTACTCTTGTAATTATCTGACCACTTGTGTTGGACTACTGGGCAGCCCAGAGAAAAATTGCTGAAAAATGCATGAACTGCAGGAGCATCTCCATACACAGAAAAACGAGACCATACCTAAATATAAATTGTAGGTGTATGCACATGCTCCGTGCTTTGTGCATAACTTTCAGAAAGACCTGGCAGTTAAATGTTTTCCATACATTTTTCACCTTTGCTTTTGAGATCAAAATACAAGAATTTGCCAACTGTATACTATTCAGTGTAATTTTAATAATGAATATAATGCAAATATTAATGTTTTAACTGCAGTGAATTGTTTTGAAATAAATGTAGCATTTTAATTTAATTATATTCACATATAATCAGTTTGCCATGTTAGGTGGTCATCTGTTATTTAAAGAATACAGTTCTTTGAGAAAAAATGCCATTAAAACTGTGACGTGACATCAGTGTTAAGTCCTGTGAAATGAAAAATTTAGTAATATAAAGAAATATTTTATTCTTTACTCCTATTTCTTTGCTAGGAGTGTAGTTAAATCAATTGTAGCTAATAGTTACTTGAATTATTTGTGTGCTTATAGTTATGTCTGTTTTATTTCTTTTAGATTATTAGATTCTGGGACAAATTAGTATATAATTCAAATACTAATAATATAATCACAAAAATAAATATAAAATAAATGAATATTAGTGATTTATAAGAGTCATGTTTGGTTGTTCTTATTTTGGATAAATACTTGGCCTAGTTAGTATAGATAATATTTTATTTTAAATTCTTATCACAGTATTATATATCACATACTATATCAAAAATATAAAAATACAGACTCTTTAATGTAGTTGATTTAAAAAAATAACTTTCCTAAGTCCCACAGGGTTTATGTGGTAGGAAATACACTGTTTGGTTGTAATAAACATATCAAGCCTTACCTTGGCTCTAGGCCTCTGCTGGTAGCTTCTGATGGCAAGTGGCCATGGAGCCCTGGATATGTAGCCAGTCTGAACTGAGCTGTGCTGTGAGTAAAATACACATTGATTTGCAAAGACTTATAGTACACAAATAAGGATTAAGGAAAGCTCTCATTAATAATTTTATATTGATTTATCTGTTGAAATGATAATATTTTGAATCTATTGAGTTAAATAAAATGTATTATTAAATAATTTCACCTGCTTCTTTTAATTTTTTATTTAAAATTATGTGTGTGGCTCACATTGTGGTTCACATTATATTTCCATTGAACAGCATTGTCCTAGGCATTTTAATTTATTTTACTGTATTTCATAATCACAACTTTGTAGGGCAGACATTTCACTGTCATTTTGCAGATGAGAAAAGTGAGGCTCAATGAGATGATAGATCTGAGAGAAACCCATAAATTCTGCTTTTTTTTGTTTTTGTTTTTGTTTTGTTTTTTTTTGCTTCTACACCCCCTGTACTGTTCTCTATACTATTGAACATGAATGCAAATTGAAGACAGCCTTTTGGATGCATAACAAAATATTTCTATAAGAAAGAAGTGAAATTAGTTGAACAGCAAAGAATGGAGGAGATTGGATCCATTTACCTTTCTGGGCTTATTTGCTTTTTATTTTCCCCTTAATATCTGATACTAATTACCTTTGTAGCCATAGTCTTTGGTTTTAGTGTATTTGTAAAAGCCCTTTCGGTCTCTGCCATCAAAGGTTCACAGAAGACTTTACCCCGGTTGCTTTCAGGGTCTCAGATACCTCTCAAATGTGTCTAAAGAATTCAAATATTTTATGTAATAATCCTATATGGTTTACATATTCTCTAATAACATACAGATTGTCCTTTGAACAGTGAAGCCAGCTTCACCTAAGAATGGTTTTTAAGACACTACTCCTCAAGACCTTTATAATCAAGAATCTCTGTATAGTCTTGGCATTTCACTTTGGCCTAGGTATGTCATAGGCCATATTTGGACAGATAGAGTTGATTTAGGTTTGTGGTGAGTTTTCTCATGGGGTGCTTTAGAGTCAGTAAGTTAAAAAAAAAAAAAAAAAAAAAAAAAAGAATACCTAGAGAGGCAATTATCCCTGTCCTAGAGGGGATGAATTTAGAAAAGCAAAATCAAAGAATAAAAATCTTAAAATTTCTTCATTTAATTAAAAAAAATGATGTTTATAAATAAGTAACTTTGAATTTTGACCAAGCACAAAACATACGGTTTTATTACATTAAAGGATTTATAGTTTTTAAACTTGGCTGTACTAGGGTTTGACCTATATAAGCTTTAAAAGTAAGACAGCTGTTAATTAAGGGCAGAAATTCATTTATTCAGCAAACATTTACTGAATGAGCATTTACTGTCTGCCAGGCACTATATGGGTTATTTAACTCATAACTTTTTCTTGGAAATGTTGTTATTCTTGTTTAATAAATGAGGAAGCTGAGATTAAAGAGATTGAAGTCTTGAAGTCATTTACCAGGGTCCATGACAATTTTGAGGTAGAAATAGCATTTGAATTGAGAAAGCCTAACTTTTTTAAAAGCCCAGGCCCAAGCAGTGAAATTTCTAACACATATGAATGATGCATTTGTCTTTGCGTCTTAATGATGCATTTATCTTTTAAGAAATACTTAGTCTTTTTATTGCACACTCAAAAGTTTAAAAAGCAAGTTTATTTTTTTAAGTTGAGAATCTCTTGTATCTCAGTTATTAGAGAGAATATCAAAAACTAATGTAACCAAAAAGCTGAATTTGACCATTTCTTTTCTAGTATAGTCCTTTGTTTAGCAACTAAAGACCATTTAGTTGTAAGTTACAGACAGCCGAGGCACGTAGATTTCAGAATTAGACAACATGTTGATTAGAATGAAATTTTTTTAAGCTGCTTGATTTCATTGCAGACATAAGCCTGGAGCTTAGAGGAAATGATAAAAGGCAAAATCAAGATATTTAAGATCAAAGTTGTTTCAGAAACTCCTCCTCAGTTTTAAAGTGAATTTACCATATTGGATAGTTTTATATTCAGAAAGAAATACAATTTAAATCCTTTATTAACATTTGTAGGATCTGGGGAAAACTATAAATAATGGAATGTGGTACACTAAATGAAAATAATTACAGACAGTCCTCGTCTTTCAAATAGGCCATTTTTAAGTAATTTGTTGGTGGACTCCGGTTAAACGTGGCATATTGAACACATTCCTATGGTTTTCCTAAAACTGTTGAAATGACAATAAACGAATAGGGATGCCCGGGTGGCTCAGTGGTTCAGCGCCTGCCTTTGGCCCAGGGCATGATCCTGGAGTCCCGGGATTGAGTCCCGCACTGGGCTCCCTGCATGGAGTCTGCTTCTCCCTCTGCCTGTGTCTCTACCTCTCTCTCTCTCTCTCTCTCTGTGTGTGTGTCTTTTATGAATAAATTAGTAAAATCTTTTTAAAAAAAATAATAAGTGAATAAAAAGATACATAAACCCACAGAGGTGGAGGATGCATTTCATGAAAAAGATGGAATAAATAAGAAAGAGGAAGATATGCTATGATAGCTTTATTAATTTATTAACTTTGTCTCCCTACAGAATATTATATATCTCTGCTCTGTTGATGTCAGACTTGACTACATGATTTGATTCCTCCCCCCACTGACCCACCCTTCAGGGAAGATATATAGTGTCCCTGTTGAACTCAAGCATGGTCATGTGAGTTGCTTTGGCCAGTAAAATGTGTGTAGATGTGGTTTGTGTCACTTCTGAGCAGGTACTTTAAGAACTAGTTCATGATTCACCATGTTTCTTTTCCTTCTTCTGTGATGACCAGCAGTGTTCTAGGCAGAGGCTGCTCTGTCAGCCTCAGTCCTAGAATGAAAATAACATGGCACAGAGGAAAAAATGACCCATGATGGACATGTAATGTGTACAAGAAATAAATCTTACTCATTGAAAGCCATTGGGATTTTGAGGATCATCTGTTACTGAAGCATAATTTGGCCTGCTATGACTGATACATAAGCCATCCAGGAAAAGGGGGATCCAAACACTGGATGGAGGTTAAGGAATTCTGAGAACAATGGTAAAGAGGAATCCCATAATGACCCCTGTGCAACCAAAGATCAGTCAGTCTAAATTAAAGTATAAGGATAAAGGGCTTGGGAAGGGTATCCAATAAAAACTTTACAAATAATACTTTGAGTCTTGGCACATTTCCAGTTTCTTGTTAAGAAAGTTTGATGATGCTATAGAAACAGAAAACTAAGAGAGGGAGGGATAAGTCCCAACAAAAGGCAATTCTTAATTCCTGGGAAAACAAAATATTGTAAAAGAAAGGTGATATAATCATAGTACACTATATGGCTCTGCAGATTATAATAATTATAAATGCAGGGGATCCCTGGATGGTTCAGTGGCT